CTACCAGAGTGGGGTAGGAAGGGTAAGTGGTTAAAACAAACACCGTATTTCTTTAAAGGTTCTTGGTTAAGAAGAGAGCAGGCAGGAGGTCAAAAGCAGTGACTGGATGTCCTGGGTTCAGCAGTAGCAGTCATTTTTCCCCTTCTTGGTAGCTGGTGCAGTGCTGTGTTTTGACTTTCAGCTTGGGAACAGAGCTGATAGTGATGTTTTGGTTTGGCCAAGGACTTTGTGAGCCTCATGCTCTGCCAGGGAGGAGGGGAAGCCGGGAGGAAGCAGAGACAGGACACCTGACCCAAACTGACCAAAGAGGTATTCCATACCACAGCACGTCATGCCCAGGATGTAACTGGGAGTTAGCCGTAAGGGCTGGGGGACTGCAGGGTTGGAGGAGGTATCGGTCAGAGCTTGGTCGGGCTGGGGGGGGGCGAGTTATCGGTCGGCTGGTGGTGAGATGATGTATTCTCTTCCCTTGTTATTTCCTTTATCATTATTATCATTGGTGGTAGCAGTAGTGATTTGTGTTATACCTTAGTTACTAAACTGTTCTTATCTCAACCCGTGGGAGTTGCATTCTTTTCGATTCTCCTCTCCGTCCCTCCGAGAGCAGGGGGAGGGCAAGAAAAGGGGGGGAGAAGTGAGCGAACGAATTACCTGACTGGGTTTAAACCATGACAGTTCTTTTTGGAGCCCAACGTGGGGCACGAAGGGTTGAGATAACGACAGATCTGACCGGATTAATAGTCACTGGTCACAGTGCTGATTTATTGGCTCTCAGAGTTGTTTCTCTTGATCTCACAGCTTCAGAATGTTGTAACTTACGTAGAGCCGGTATTTGCTGTGATAGTGTTTATCAAGTATGGGGCCTGGGCTAAGGTTCTTGTCTCACTGTGCTTTATGGCAATGGCTTGTAATACGGGCGGGCTCCAGCAGCAGGGCGGGACGGACGTGGCCGTGGACTTGTACCTGGCCGTCCGGCTGCTCTTCACCGTCCTGGCCCTCGCCCTACTCTCCATCTTCGTGAGGCTGTGGGGAGCCGAGGGGGAGCGGCTCCGGGAGCCGGCGGCAGCCGAACCAGCCCGGGAGAGCGGCCCCGGGGACCAAGCGGCGGCGGGAGCGGGGCCGGAGGCCGCGAGGGGACGGCTGCCGGTGGAGGAGGTCGGGGCGGTCGAGAAGCGGAAGGAGGCGGCTGCCGAGCAGCGGGAGAAGGCGGCGGAGGAGCCGAGCCCCGCGACGGTCGAGAGCATTCCCCGGCAGCCTCCCGCCGAGCCCCAGGAGGATGCAGGAGACCACGCAGCATTTCCCAGCAAGGCAGAGGAGAAAGAGCTGGACTCAGGAAAAGAGAAGGTGGCGGTGGGAGAGCCGGCAAGCACAGCAGCTACACCAGCCCCAGTGACAAGCCCCAGTGACAAGTACAGCAGCATCAACTGAGAGTTCTGAAGGTTTTGAATGGCCTTTGGGTGTCCTTGGGACCTGCCTGCTGATTGTGATGGGGATCAGCATGTTGGCACACACACAGGCTGTGTGCTACCCACAACCATTTTGTCTGATCTCAAAAGTTAAGCAGAGTCAGGTTTGGGTCTTGTCTGGGGTTAGACAACAATATAGGGGGACCAAGAGGTTTTCCCCAAGGCTGGACAGTGATGAGTGGCAGGGTGTGTGGGACAGTATGGGCAAGTATCTAGTCCACTGGGCCCCTCCAGTGCTTTGGAAGCATCGGAGATGGAAGGCAGCTGTATGGAGTCCCCAGCAACAAGCTGCAGAAACTGCTAAAGGGGACAGTGAATTATTTTGAGCCTGGTGGGCGCATGGCACTTCAGGCCATCAGAGCAGAGATGCAACATAGAGATGGACTCATGATCGAGGGGTGGACTTAGCAATGGACACTATTGCCCAGGTTATTCATGAGTGTGAACACTGCACACATTCTCTCCTGCTCTAGAAGACTGTTACAAGAGTTGGAGCCTGACATCATGGACCAGATGGACACAGCAGCTTTATAGGGACTGGTCCATGCACTAAGATAAGAGTGCACCGAGATAAGAGTGATGGTATATTGAAAATGTAGGATCTGAGCATGACGTGAATGGTATGGAATAAGGGGTGGATAATGTCCTGGGTTCAGCAGTAGCAGTCATTTTTCCCCTTCTTGGTAGCTGGTGCAGTGCTGTGTTTTGACTTTCAGCTTGGGAACAGAGCTGATAGTGATGTTTTGGTTTGGCCAAGGACTTTGTGAGCCTCATGCTCTGCCAGGGAGGAGGGGAAGCCGGGAGGAAGCAGAGACAGGACACCTGACCCAAACTGACCAAAGAGGTATTCCATACCACAGCACGTCATGCCCAGGATGTAACTGGGAGTTAGCCGTAAGGGCTGGGGGACTGCAGGGTTGGAGGAGGTATCGGTCAGAGCTTGGTCGGGCTGGGGGGGGCGAGTTATCGGTCGGCTGGTGGTGAGATGATGTATTCTCTTCCCTTGTTATTTCCTTTATCATTATTATCACTGGTGGTAGCAGTAGTGATTTGTGTTATACCTTAGTTACTAAACTGTTCTTACCTCAACCCGTGGGAGTTGCATTCTTTTCGATTCTCCTCTCCGTCCCTCCGAGAGCAGGGGGAGGGCAAGAAAAGGGGGGGAAGTGAGCGAACGAATTACCTGACTGGGTTTAAACCACGACACTGGACCAGCCCCATTTTAAACCTGGAAGGAAAATCCTGGCCATTGTAGATATTTTTCACATTTTTATATAACTATTTATTTGGGAATAGAAAAAAGAAATCACATACTCAACATGAGTTGAGTTTAAAAAGTACCAGTGACTTCTCCCTCCTGGTTTTTGAAGCTGAATTACTCTAAAATAATGAGGTATGTTGAGAGTAATCAAGACAGGAGGATTTGGACATCCTTCCCAAAACAGGCAAGCCTCTTTCACCTTTAGCAAAAAGAATTTGGTGTTTGGTGTTTAAAGAAGCAAAAGCAGAACTGGAGATTTCTGCAGCTGATGTCGGTGAAGATGAATTAACCTCCTGAGGTTTATTTGCTTGTTTAGTAAGGTCACCTAGCCCTCCTGTTGAATCAACAGAAAACCACACCTTCCACAGGCCTCCCCACTCCTGAGACAAGGAGGAGCTGGTTCAGGATCCTGACTATCCAGCATCCTGTTGGAGGGAGGTTTATATTGGACTTTAGGAAGCATTTCTTCACTGAGGTGGTGGTCAAACATTGGAACCTGCTTCCTAGAGAGGTGGTTGATGCCCCAAGCCTGTCAGCGTTTAAGGCATTTGGACAATGCCCTTAATAACGTGCCTTAACACTTGGTCATCCCTGAATTGGTCAGTCAGACTGGATGATTGTTGTAGGTCCTTTCCAATGGAAATATTCTATTATACTTTATTCTAAAGATAGGGACCCACAAATACATCTGCCACTGCCCTGTATTGCACCAAGCCCCACCTGCCATTTTTGCAGGGTGCAAGACAGGGCAATATCTGGACACATTCCTCCTTCCCCAGCACTTAGCTGGTTGCAGGCAGAAACATTAGGCAAAGCAATAATGGCATCAGTGGACTTTTCCTTGCAGGGCAGGTAGGGCTGCAGGGGGGTGCCAGTGCTGTTTGCCTATGTGAGAAGCTTGCTCTTATTTCTAAGTTACATTGGGAGCGGGTGCCCAGGCACTTGCAGGGGGGGCTGCAGGGTGGCCAGACACAGACACACAGCTCCAGCCAGCTCAGATGGACCCCCACAGTCAAGGTGGTACCTCCTCAGAGAAAGCATATGTAAGACAGGGCAGAAAATGCGGGGCAGGCAGATGAGTAGGGAACACCAAGGTCAGAGGAGGTGCTCCATGGCAGAGCCTGTGGAGGACCCACCCCAAAGCAAAGGAAAGGGGAGAGGCAGGGCACAGCCTAGGTGCATTTGTGCACACCAGTCATTGCCTCCTCACTTTGCTGAAGGGACAGAGCATGACCTGTGGAAGTAACAAGGGGGAGGAGAGGAGCATGGGGTGATGCCGAGCCTGGAAAAGAGGAAAGGTGTTTCCCCCGAGCATGTTAATGTTCATCTTCTTGCTTCCCAATACCCAAATCAGTAATTAAACACACAGATAAATAACTTGGTCATAAATTAATTTCCCCAAATCAAGTCTGATTTCCTCATGAGGGTAATAGGTAGGTGATCCCCCCCATCAGTATCTTAACCCATGAGCTTTCTTGATTCTGTTTTTTCCCTTTTACCATCTCACCATTAAAGGGGATACTTGAATCAGCAGCCGGGTGGGAGCATGGCTACCCGCCGGGGCCAACCCAGCACAGATGTTCAGCAACAAAAAGTTGTTTGTAAACTCGAGACTTAAGACAAACAACAAGTAATTTAGGCTTATCAGTCTCTGTGTTCACTTTGCATCGACTTGAGTTGTCTGTGCTTCCTCACCATGACTCTACAATAAACTTGACATGAGAAAGACCTTTCCTTTTAAATCATCTTATTAGTTTGCACATCTATAAAATCATAGCTTCAATGAAATTGGTTATACAATTCTTTGAGTAAGAAAGTCTGTTTGATCTTTTGCAAAGTTAGTGAGACCTAGAGCTGCTCAAGCTTTGCACAGCAACTTGTAAAAGCATTGTTTCTAGAAGCTCACTGGAAAGATAAAGCTTTTTCATCTGCAACTCACACCCAGGTTAATAAACAGTTAATATAAAATAAGGTATATACTATCCCAAGTGAATAATTTCCATGCATTTGCCTATAATCCTTTTCTTGTCAAATAGAAGTCACATTGTTCTTAAAACTGTTTGATATTAGTTTAATTCTTACTTGAGAAACTCTTATTCTGTGAAAATCTAGTCATTCTTCCCTCAGGTACTTTACTGTCTTGCCTGAAAGGGTACGTATGTACAACACAAACTTCAGAAGCTAATACAAAACACCCTACACAAGACAGGGTTGCAAAGGAAAATGGGAATGGTTACAAAAAAACCAACACAAACACAATAAAAGTATTCTTAAAAAAAATAAGCAAAAGCAGCATTTATTACAAGATTATAATACATGCCAAATAAAAGGGGCTTTTAAACCACCATGTTTATGAACTGTGTTTACTGGCTTTTCCTCCCATTTTAAAACTGGAATTTGGTTTTGTATTTCCATAATTATTAAAAATAAGTATTTAAAAATGTGATTTGAGAACAGATGCATACAGTAAGGAAATGGTTTGAAATGAAGCCACTCCAGCAAAAACAAGAGCAGAGGATGCATTAGGGTTGAGAATTTAAATATGCCCTACTTAAACTGAGGGTAAAATTTTGTGAAAACAAAACCAAATCACCTAAAAACTAACAATGCCAGCCTCTTTCATAGTATCACATCAAAATTACACAGAACACCCCAGTGATCACTAGGGAATCTGCCACAGTCTAGTTTTTCCAATCCGATTAAGTCCATACTTCGTGGAATAATATGTCCCCCTCCCCCTGCAGGCCGAAAGTAGATGCGGTCAAATCTCATCTTGCACTTGTATGCTGCATGCAGGTTGGTATTGGAGTGGGTGTCCCAAGTATAGCGGCAGTGTTGTGGTTTACCCAAAAACTCCCACATATCCATAATGTTGTCAGGTAAGTTTCCTAGTTTAGCAACCTGAAAGTAGAAAGTGGGGGGGGAATACACAAGACACTGAGTGAGCTCACAAATTTTACCTTCAAAACCAGATCTGAGTTGTCACATCACTTTTTCTGCAAAACATAAGTTGTGGAAAACAAAAAGAGTGGAGATGTTTCTAAATCGTGGTATTTCTCAGGATACTCTAAAGCATGACCAATTTCTGTAGTACTTTCTAAATCCAACATGTTAAAAAATATGCATTAAAAAAATGCCTCTGAAATTTTGAGATATGGGGTTCAACACCAAGTTCTCTGAATCAATGTCATTCCAGTTTACTGCAAGGGAATTTTATGACAAGGAAAGATGAAACATTGACCTTTTAGTAATAATGCACAAATTTTACTTTAAATATCAGCAGCCAAAAATGACTTCTAATTTTGAATGTCTCGATGATGGGGGATTAATTCTGAACTCCAGAGATCTATTTCTCCAGAGTATTAACCCTCTGAGAATCGGAGAGTTGATCAAGTAAAGATCAGGTTCTCAAAATGAGAAGATGCTTCATCAACTATCCCTGCATCTTCTCAGATACAAATATTGTTAATAAAGCATTTTGTTATTGGGCTGGTGGAGGGCTCCTCATATGTATCACCTCAACTATAATAACTCCTCAGCATATCAATGCCACAGCTTCTACTTACTCACACTTTCACTTTTTAAGAATAAATGTCTCATATCTCTATTCTGTCTAAGGAGGTCATTTCTCATGAAAAGAACAGAAAAGCTTGAGAAGATTTTGGCAGAATACCTTCCCAAAATAACAAGGTTGCTTATTTCTATTTACCTCACTGTCTCTAAGGTTTGTATCCCCTCCAAATATAACAGTGGTGGACTCAGACTCCTTCTGCATTTCTTTAAACACTATTTGTAGTTGCTTTGTACGCTCATTGGAGTGGTCTTTAGTGCTTTCCAGATGAGAAGTCATAAGGCAAAGTTCATTACCAGATATGCTCACCTGTGTGTGAAATGAAGAGGCAATGTTACTATCCACACTACGATAAAAAGTTCAAAGACAAAAGTATAATGTTGAAGTAAATTACTTACTGATAGGGCTCTGGTTAATATTAATTTTACATTAAAGAAAAGCGGCTTACAGGAGGATAACAGACTTTTAGTCTTGTTTTCAGACATTATGAGACTTGAAAACACAGTATGACCAGTAACTTAAATAAAAGATTTAAGTTTGCTAGTACCAAATGAAGCCGAGTTTGAACGTTTGGTGAAGTTTTTCTGCTGTTTGAGACTGTCATAAAGCCAGTCCAGCCTTTCCCGAGATTTTTTTCTCTTTTGAAAGCAGAAATGCAGCTGTTAGGTACATACTGTCTCACTCACATGCACAACCAAAAGGTTCCTCATCATAGAGGTTGTTGGAAAAGGTATTATGTCATGTTTCAGTAGCTTCACTCTTGATTTCTTCAACATTATGACAGTGAAATAGCCATCTATGTTACCTAAAGAGGAACAGGGAAAGTCATGGTCAAGGGTATCTTCTGCTGTGCCATAAAAAAGGTTCTGAAAGAGACCTTTTTGCCATGATCCAGGAGAATCCCATTAATTTTAATATACATGAAGTCATTAGTTAGAAGTTTCACAATAGGGGTGTGACTTTTTTAAACTTTGTAAATGCAAATATTTAACAAATTACTTACCTATGGGACTTTTTTCTTCTTTATTTTTTTGTTACCCTTGCTATCAGTTTCTCAAAATGCAGAAAAAATAAAAAGAAATCTGGAGAGAAATTTTTACAAAGGCATGTGGTGACAGGACAAGGGGCAATGGCTTTAAACTGATAGAGGGGAGATTTAGATTAGACATTAGTAAAAAAATTTTTACTATGAGGGTGGTGAGGCACTGGCACAGGTTGCCTAGAGCTGTGGCTGCCTAGAGCTGTGGCTGCCTAGAGCTGTGGCTGCCTAGAGCTGTGGCTGCCTAGAGCTGTGGCTGCCTAGAGCTGTGGCTGCCTAGAGCTGTGGCTGCCTAGAGCTGTGGCTGCCTAGAGCTGTGGCTGCCCCATCCATAGCAGTGCTTAAGGCCAGGCTGGAAAGGGCTTTGAGCAACCTCGTCAAAACACTAGTGGAAGGTGTCCCTGCCCACTACAGGGGGGTTGGAACTGGGTGATCTTTAAGGTCCCTTTCAACCCAAACCATTCTGATTCCAAACCAACAGGCAAGCAAGATTTTCACATGCATAACTCGCATTATATCCTGATAGTAAAACACAGTAATTTAAGTGCTTCTTTCTTGACTTTATTCCTTTCATTCCTGCAAATGGTCAGATTTTAGCAAAGGAGACAGAATAAAACTGAACTTACTTCTCTGGTTTCTATCTGAAAGTGAGGGTTATTTCTTACCTGGAATCATAATGTAATTGCCTGCTTTCATCTGTAGAAGACAGAGATGCTGTGGGACAACCTCTTGTAAAAACACAACATCTGGACTGTATCTGAAATCGGCAAGATGAGATTTTAAATTAACTACTGAAATGTAGTACTGTTACACTCTGAGGCCAAATGGAACAGGGTCGGGGGTTCAGGCACACTTTGTCCTCCTCTTTAGATACTTTAATAATCTGTTTTTTAAAAAAAGAAAAAACTCTCTCCATCTTATTTAGTAGCATGTAAACATATCACCACTGCTAAAAGGGAAGAAAAAAATATTACGGCTGACATGTACTGATGTTGTACAAGAATGCACTACTTCCTTTCACCCAGATCCTGCAAACATTTGCACAGGTTTCGTACACTGCATACACAAGGAATTCAACTTCAGGAGCTGCAAAGTAGCTTTGGAACATATTCTGCAACATCTAAGCTCTCCAGGAGATTCCAACTGTCACCGCGGTCCCTTACAACAGATCCTCTCACGTAACCTGCCATGCATTTTCTCCAGTCTCATCAATGACGAGCTCTTTTATTTCTTAAGAGTTTTTCAGTCAGTAATAGTTTGTGTGAGGCAGCAGTCCTGAAAATACTGATTTAGATATGACTTTACAGCTGTCCCTGTGTTTGCTATACTGCTAACAGCCCTACTGTAAGCAGGTAAAGGACAACCCTATCACCTTACTTACAAAAGAAAAATATGTCACCCCAGGTTAACAAAATCAAGTGAGAATTTATTTAGTTAAGGAGTTTCTGCTGGTTTAAGAGAAAATTAAATTATTACTTAATTATATTAAGAATATAATTACTTTATTAATTTACACTGATAAAGTTACTGTGTTAAGATAAATCAATTTATGTAATTGTTAAGCTGCTCACAAATATATTCATGAAAAGTTTCCACCGGTGGAACTATAAAAGATAATCACAAATTCTACTGCTTTTATCTTACCTTGCACATTTTCTTTTTTAGTAGACAAGTAACAGTTACAGCAAGAGACCCACTTTTCAAATTTTACTAAAAAAGTCTCCAGTTTTTCAGTTTGCTCTAGAGTGATGTTATTCATACTACTGGAATGAGACAAGTTTCTTGCAGTTTTACACTTCTCATATACAGGATGGAAGTACGAAATACACCCTTGATACATGACTACAACTTGCACAGTATTGATCGTTATAAAAAAGGCTTTTAAAAATAGGCACCACAAAATACATAACCTTTGGGATGCTGCATACCTCTTCCATCCAGTATGTCAATGTTTCTTCAGCTATTTAGGATTTATAAAGCGATTGTATTGTTTTATCTAATATTAAGATAATCTGGGCATGAAGATTTGTAAATATCTAAACCAAGAAGCTTCCTTTTTCCTTTAAAGCTAGGTACATGACAATACAGAGATGAAGCTGTACTTACAATGCCAGGTAAGAACAGATTCCTCTAGCTCGTTCTTTTAGATTTCCTGGATCCAACCCATCAATGTTCCAGGTTATCAGTGAGAAGCTGCTGTCATCTTCTTGTTTCCTTGAGTCTGCACTATTGACACTGTCATCACTAGTAGTTGCATCTGCTGTGAGGTCAATACTAAAGAGAGAGTTTACTTGTTTTACAACATGCATCATACGACTCTTCATGCAATTACCTCCCTTATCTTCTAAAGCAAAATGTTTTAGACCCATCTAAATATCCCACCCATATGTGGCCATTAAAATTTTCCCAACAGATAAGTTAACATGTATTGATCTCAACATAATTTGATGGCTTGGCTTCGCAAGCAAAGATTTGGGAAGGGCTTTAACCACGCTTACTACATGCACGATGACCAAGGGCATGTGGGATATGCGAATCTGGTTGGAAAAAAAGGCTGCTTGGGCAATCAGGAAGTGTCCGACCATGACTGTCAGCTCCCTAGCTAACTCGAGCTACCCATGCACTGGTCCACCCACACGCAAGGTTGGATCTGCAGCTTCCCATGCACCTTGTCACCTACCGTTTCGACCCTCGCCTGTCCATACAGACAAGTGAGAGTCAGCCCTTCCAGCCTGCGCAGCGGATTTTTTAGGTGAAGTGCAGCTTGCGCAGAACTGGCCCCACCCTTTACACCTGAGGTTTAACTGCCACGGCCTAGTTAGCTAGGATGGTGACAGCAAAGTCTGCAGGTTTTGTAAGAGTGCCCTTCTCTTAGATGGAAGACCATACATGGCTAGATGAGCTCCATCAGCCCGGGTTTGAAGATAGCAGTTTTCCTTCTCCTATGAGGAAGGCTTGTCTTTGCTAATGAAGATTCGGAAAGACCTTTACCCATGCATTCTGAACGTCAACATAATTTAAAAGCACAGTAACATACAGACCTCAGTCACCCATAGCCTTAGTACACAGGAGAAGTAAGTGGGTTTTCCTCCTCCTTATACACACAAAATAACATTTACCATTCTGATTTAAGTTAATCAGACAGCCACCAATGTAATCCAAAGCACTTGAATAATTCAACTCCTTCCCTGTGCTAGAGACAGGCTGGGTGTATTAGTTTTTCAAACACTTTCCAGCATACTAGAAATGAAGGACTGCAGCCAGGACTTGCTTTTATGTGCTCATCTTTGTAGTACAGCCAAGTGTTTTCAATTGCCAAACCCCTGGGGAGATAAATGTGTTAACTCATTATGTAACAAACTGATAGCCTTTTTCTTTGGGAATATTCATGCCAAATCTCACCTCAAAAACATAGACCTCGTCTACCCTGTGACCAAAACGATATCACAGGGATGTGTCAGCTGTTGTGAGCAGTGTTTACCCAGCATCAAGGCCTTCCCTGCTTCTCTGTTGCCCCTCCAATAAGCAGGCTGGAGATGCACAAGAGGTTGGGAGGGAACAGCCAGGACAGCTGACCCCAACTGACCAAAGGAATATCCCACATCATACAATATTGCGGTCAGCAATAAAAGCAGGGGAAAGGAAGAGGAAGGGGGAACATTCAGGGTTATGGTGTTTGTCATCCCAAGTAATCACTACATATGATGGAGCCCAGCTTTCCTGGGGATGGCCGAACAGCTGCCTGCCCATGGAAAGCACTGAATTACTTGTTTTCCTTTGCTTGTACTCACAGTTTTTTCTTTACCTATTAAACTGTCTTTACCTCAACCCATGAGTTTTCTCACTTTTACCCTTCTGATTCTCTCCCCCATCCCACCAAGGAGAAGTGAGTTAAGTGTCTGTGTGGGTCTGAGTTGCCCACCGGGATTAAATCACAACAGTGATCCAAAGCAAATTCCTTGAGTAAAGTCTGTAACAAAATACATTAAACAGTATAGCTAAGACTAGATAAACTGTATTTTGGCAAAGTAACGATACCAGAATTTTCTTTTAAACATAGAATTTGTATGCACACATGAAAATAAGGCCTGGAACCAAACCAAATCTATTCCCTAGATCTTAGTACTGGTTTTGTACTTAGTGCTGCATAAACAACCTAAGAGTCCACTACCATGCACATGTAATCTAAACTGAACAGAAGAAGGAAAGCAGAGGAAAAAGAGGAAGCTAAGGGATATTTAAATAGGTAAATAATGCGGTATATGCCTCCAGTATCTCCATGATGACTTTCTGTATTTATACTGTAACCTGAAGGACTGAGATGAAATACAAAAGTCTATGTGGTCTGGAAGGTCTTCAAATAGTCCTCCCTTCCAACACATCCTGCCATATAACAGCTCAAGGCAGAAGCCACAGTGCAAAAGACAGAGGCAAGTAGTGAAAAAGGTGCTGCCAATTTGATACAGATACATTCTAACTCATCATGGACTACATACAGACTAATGTTAATGTTCAGTAGGCTTGCATTTTTTCATACATACTGATTCAGAGAAAACTCCAGGAACAAACTCGCCAACAGAGTTTCAAGTTGACAAGCAGGTATTCTCTATTGTGGCGTGCTGGGAGACACGGGGAATAGGTCCTCCTAACGTGTGTCCCTGTATTGCTATACAGGCCATCCTTATATGGTCACTGGGCATATTACATCCAGAAAGTTTCCGGCATGCATACAAAAATGTGATGGTGGTCTTTAAGGGTCGTTTACTTTTCCCAACAATCTCCATAACCAGCTTAATTAACATTACAGACATAGCAATCACCCTGTCCTTCTACTTATCAGTTAGTTTAACTGTGCCCATCCTGGACATCTGCTAGTCCCAGATGCTCCCCATCCCCAGGTCCTGTTTATCTATTCTGCTTTTCTTACACCTTTTGTACTAAGGTCCTAAGGACCTGAAACTATGTCAACTACCTTCAAGCGCTGCAGTTATTTTCCATTACAAAGCCATCAAACTTACCATTACTTAGAACTGATTACATTTTGTGCTTTTGTGCCTCGTCTCAATACATATCAAGCAAAAGCTGATATGCTGTTACCAAATACAGTTTATAACTATAAAGATTATAAGAGGTCTTATGATCCTTATAGTGCAAGGTCCTGCAAGGAACAAGTGCAAGGTCCTGCATTCGGGCCAGGGCAATCCAAACCACAACTACAGGCTGGATGAGAGCTGGATTGAGAACAGCCCTGACGAGAAGGACTTGGGCTGTTGGTTGAGGAGAAGCTCATCATGAGCTGGCAGTGTGCGCTTGCACCCCAGTAAGCCAACTGTATGCTGGGCTGCATTAAAAGGAACGTGGCCAGCAGGCCAAAGGAGGTGATCCTGCCCCTCTACTCTGCTCTTGCGCAGTTCTGCGTCCAGCTCTGGGGCTTCCAACATAAGAAGGATGTGGAACTGGTCACGCCACAAAGATGATCAGAGGGCTGCTTTGAAGACAGGCTGAGAGTTGGGCTTTTTCAGCCTGGAGAAGAGAGGGCTCAGGAGAGATAACAGTCCTCCAATACCTAGAGGAGGCCTACAAGAAACCTGGAGAGGGACTTTTTACAAAGGCATGCAGGGATAGGATGAGGGGGAATGGCTTTAAACTGACAGAGGGGCTATTTAGATTAGATATTAGGAAGAAAATTTTCACTTTGAGGGTGGTGAAGCACTGGCACAGGTTGCCCAGGGAAGCTGTGGATGCCCTATCCCTAGCAGTGTTCAAGGTCAGATTGGATGGGTCTGGTTGGAAGGTATCCCTGCCCATGGCAGAGGGGTTGGAACCAGATGATCTTTAAGGTCCCTTCCAACCCATTCCATAATTCCATATATAACACATAAGTCTAATATATAAAACCACAGTAAAAAAACTTCCCTCAGGACTGCGTATGGCAGGGATCTGTAAAAGTTCAATTCTACATGCAGTTCAATACCCTCGGTATGCCCTATGGGTATGCTGTGAGATAATCTGTGTGTAAAAGGAACAGATCTTAGATTCTAACTCCCACAGGTACATTTAACAATGTGTGCATGTACGTCAGTTTTATTTATATAAATATAAATGCACACAGAATCACAGAATCAGCTAGGTTGGAAAAGACCTTTAAGATCATCAAGTCCAACCGTTACCTCAGGACTGACAAGTCCACCCTTAAACCATGTCACTAGGGCCTCATCTACAGTGTTTCTGGACACTTCCTTGGGAAGCTGTGAATGCTCCATCCCTGGCAGTGTTCAAGGGCAGGGTGGACAGAATCTTGGGTGACACGGTCTAGTGGAAGGTGTCCCTGCCCATGGCAGGGTTTTGGAACTAGATGATCTTAAGGTCCTTTCCAACCCTAATTATTCTGATTCTAAACCTGTTCCAGTGCCTGACCATCTTTTCAGTGAAGAACTTTTTCCTTATATCCAATCTAAACCTCCCCGGCACAGCTTCAGGCTATTACCTCTTGTCAACTACATGTAGTATATGATATATATGCACAGTTTACATATACACAAATGCGTGTGTGTGCGGTAAAATCTGCATATGTACTGCTGCACAAGACAAGGCAAATGAGCTCATCCCTTCTCCAAGACTCACAATCCCAGAGGAAGGTGGCTGAAGCATCCACTGAGGGAAAGTGCATCTCACAAGTCTGACAGCCTCCCAGGAGAAGCTATTCCCCTCGAAGGGGATAGTGATGGGAAGCAATGAGAACTCCTGCAGAAACTTCAGTGTGAAGACCACAAACCACCTGCCTCACAGCATGTCAGCAGAGGTGCGAGGTCAAATGGGGAGAGGAGCGCTGCTCCTCAAGGGTACACTATGACCCGGACACAGCTCTCTCGGGTGTCGGGGACCCTGCCTGCACCCCGGAGGTACAGGCGGGTGGAGAGGCACCGCTCCCCTCACCCCGCCTGCCGAGCCCTCCTGCTGTCCCGGGCTCCACGACCACCTACCAGCTCCCGGGCCCCGCGCAGACCGTCGGCACCCCGCCCGCCGCCTCATCCTCCTTCTCCATCGGCGGCTCGAAGTAGGCGTTGAGCGCCCTCTGAAACATAGAGGCAGATGGCAGGGAAGGAAGGGGCCGCTGCCGGGGCAGCCCACCGTGGCCCCGGGGCCAGGCGTACCTCTATGTGCCAGTCGTTGCTGGCCAAGAAGCTGCGCGCCACCGCCGCGTCGCTGCTGGTGATGGCGGTAAACTCGGAGCACAGCACCTTCCTCCGCTTAGCAAGTGGGGACTCTTCCTCCTCCTCTTCCTCCTGCTTCTGCTCCCGCTCCTCCTCCGCCGCCGGCACCACCACCGGCAGCTGCTCCCCAGCCTGCGGGTACCTCGTCGCCTCCTCCTCCTCCAGCCGCCGCCTCTCCGCCGCCGCCGCCGCCTCCATGGTTGCCCGGCGGTGGGACGCTGCGGGCGGAAACTAGGGGGAAAGCTCCGCCCGCCGGAGTTGCTGTTCCGGAGCGCGGGCAGCAGCGGAGCTGGCAGCATGGGGTTTACGGTGGAGAGCCTGAAGCAGGCCATGAAGTACATGACAGAGTCGCAGGGCTTCGACCGGGTGCTCAACAAGGTAGGGGTGGCCTCAGAGCGGGACGTACGGGAGGGCGTCCCGCCGGCAACGGGCAGGTAACGGCAGCCTCTGACCAGAGAGACGGCGGTCGGGCGCAGCGGGGCTGATCGTTTAAAAACCGCTTTTTTCCCCTTCTAGAATAAAAGGCTAAGCTGGGATGAGGTGTTGTGGTGGGTTGCCCTTGGCTGGATGCAGGTGTTCTCCAAAGCCACTCAGCTGGACAGGAGAGAGAATATACGGTAAAAGGCTTGTGAGTTAAGGTCAGAGAGAGATCACTCACCAGTTACCGTCACGGGCAAAGCAAGCTCGACGGGGAAGTTTAATTTATTATCAATCGCATCAGGGTGGGATAATGAGAAATAAAACCAAATCTTAAAAAACACCTTCGCCTAACCCCTTGCTTCTTCCTGCGCTCCACCTCACTCCCAAATTCTCTATCTCCTCCCTGCCAGCAGCACAGGGGAACAGGGAATGGGGCTTGTCGGCAGTTCATCACACGTTGTCTCTGCTGCTCCTTCCTCTTCACATTCTTACCCTGCTCCAGTGTGGGGTCTGTCCCACGGGGGAAAGTCCTCCATGAACTTCTCCAAAGCGAGGCCTTCCTCCAGGCAGCAGTTCTTCACGAACTGCTCCAGTGTGGGTCCTTTCCATGGGTGCATCCTTCAGGAACAGACTGCTGCAGTGTGGGTCCTTTCCATGCGTGCATCCTTCACGAACAGACTGCTGCAGTGTGGGTCCCTTCCATGGGTGCAGCTCTTCAGAAACAGACTGCTCCAGCATCAGTCCCCTGCATGGCCACAGGTCCTGCTAGGAGCCTCCAGCAGTGTGGGCTTCCCACAGGGTCACAGCCTCTTTCAGGCATCACCTTCTCCAGTGTGGGGTCCTCCATGGGCTGCAGGTGGAGATCCGCTCCCCATGGACCTCTGTGAGCTGCAGGTGTAGATCTACTCTACCATGGACCTCCATGGGCTGCAGGGACACAGCTGCTTCACCATGGTCTGCACCACGGGCTGCAGGGGAATCTCTGCTCTGGTACCTGCATCACCTCCTGCCCTCCTGCACTGACCTGGGTGTCTGCAGGGCTGTTGCTCTTACATGTTCTCACTCCAGGATGACTAAGCTGCTCTATCCTGGCAGGGCAGTAGCTCCTCAGGCTCTGCCTCAGGCAGGCAGCAGCATGACAGACAGTGCCCTTGAGCCACACAGGCCAGGCCACTGGAGCTGGAGGAGGCCAAGGGCTGTGGTGTGTTAGCTGAACCATGACCTGGTGTCGTGGCTGCGGGCACTTCAGCAGCACAGTGGTGCAGGCCTGGATTCAAGATCTCTAAACGGGTTATGGTGGTAACACATGAAAGCACAATTGTTATTCAGTAACTTTTAAAATGCAAGAGCTACCTTGCAGTACCTCTCTAAGGATTCTACTGAATAACCTGCTGTGACTTATTTAGTAACTAGTATTCTTCCCTTCATAGTACGTGTGACTAAGCTAACTTCCAGGACCGTGAAAGTATGAAATAAATCATTACTCTGTTTAAAAATTAAACATAGCTCATTACAACATCTCACAGTTTACCTTGAAATCAGACTGAAAGCACAAGCATCTCACTGCTCTGTGAGGTTCCACAAAAGGCCCATTATGAAGAAATGCATTTGACTGGTATGGCTCTGTTGTAATGCTACATTATGAACAAAAATGTTGAAATGACTTTACTGTGTTGTCCTAAAATCTGTAGTGTAGCTTCTGTGTAGGGTGGTCCTGTGAAGCAGTTTCATTAAATTTTGCAACACTAGAATTCTCCATTTAATTTCTTCTTTATTTGTGTGACTGTGACATAAAAGGATGCAATAAATATATCTAAGAAAACCAACCAGGTCAAAATGTACACATTTTGCAATACTGAAGGCTTTCATTGACAGCTTCATGATCTGACATATTTAATAGAAGGTAACTGTTTGCAGAGCAACTCTTCTTGTTTTGTTTCCCCAAGACGTTTTGGTCTTGTATATAAAGCTTAAGAAACTCATTTATTTATAAAGTCAAAGTAGTTCTTAGTCACCCCTTCACTGTGATAATTTACTCTCCTTTACCTTAAAACTTTACCAGTCTACTAAGTAGAGAGCAAATCACAGAATCATAGAATAGTTAGGGTTGGAAAGGACCTTAAGATCATCTAGTTCCAACCCCCTGCCATTGGCAGGGACACCTCACACTAAACCATGTCACCCAACGCTCTGTTCAACCTGGCCTTGAACACCACCAAGGATGGAGCATTCACAACTTCCCTGGGCAACCCATTCCAGTACCTCACCACCCTTACAGGAAAGAACTTCTTCCTTATATCCAGTCTAAATTTCCCCTGTTTAAGTTTTAACCCGTTACCCCTTGTCCTATCATTACAGTCCCTAATGAATGCAGTATTTCAGATCATAATGGCAAATGTCTGGAAGTGAGCCTTAGGAGACTGGTTTCGTAAGACGGGCTTGCTCTGAAATACCTTTAGAACTTTTCTGCAATCTCCTAGAATTATGATGCTATGAACAAAATCATAACAACAATAGAAATGCAGTTTTGTTTGAATGTAAACTATTTGCTGTTTTTTTTTCCGGGAGATACCTGAAGCTTTTCTTTCTGTAATTAAATGACTCAAGATTTTTCCTGTTCTGGATAAGACAGATTCCAGTCTGAAACTTTCAAGCTCCAGCAACAGACTTAGTTTCTGGTTTCATTCCAATGTGACATCCACACAGGGCTTAACGACTGTGGGTTTTAAAGCCCTTTCTCCAAGGAAGTAGTGCATTGCAGTAGTAGCTGGGAGCTGAAGCAGCATACTGTTCACGGAGACAGAGGCGTGGGAAGACAAGCACAGGAGGGCTGTGAGAAGTAGAGACCAGCAGTTCTAGCTGTGTAAGTCCTGGAAGCATTCATACATAGAACTGTTTTCGTCAAGGAGAGCAGGCAGCTAGTGCCAGATCAGAGCAATGACAAATGAAACCAGATGTTTTCCTTGCCTTGCTGGTGGATTGGAGCACTCCCTGACGGTACTGGAAACCATCTGCTCCCAGTGTCAGGCATCAGTGAAGTCCTCATTAGATCTGTCAGAAACTTAGACCTTCAGTCGGTGCAGCACAGCATGCCTGGTTTAGGATTTAGGATTTCTGTTGATCAAGGTGCTATTCCTGTATTAGGACACTGCCTCAGTGATTTCCTTCCCCTCTGCTTAATTCCAGCTTTTTGCATTCATAGACAGACTGTGTACTACGTCATCATTTATCTTAGTATCATTTCTCTGCAAAATTTGGGTAATTTTGGCCTTTCAGAAGGGGACATTGACTCAGACTGAGCACTTACACTGCGTCATAAATAAGGAATAGCAAAATGAGAGACATTTAAATCTTAATTCCATGTACGATTAAAAAGATTTGAGTCAACTCAGCTGATACAATATGGAAACATGTAACTTTTAAAAGAAGTGTAAAAAATCAGTAGGAATTATAATAAATATGCCCGTATTTCACTTGTGACAGTCTAAAGGTACTTCAGAGTCTTAGTTGTAGATGTAAATGCATATGCTGAATTTACCTCAGTTTTGCATCTGCTTTCAGATTTTTAACATATTTTGGATTTTGACTATAATGCTACTAACTGAATGTCGTGGTTTAAACCCAGTGAGGTAACTCGTTCACTCACTTCCCCCCCTTTTCTTGCCCTTCCCCTGCTCTCGGAGGGACGGAGAGGAGAATCTAAAAGAATGCAACTCCCACGGGTTGAGATAAGAACAGTTTAGTAACTAAGGTATAACACAAATCACTACTGCTACAACCAATGATAATAATGATAAAGGAAATAACAAGGGAAGAGAATACATCATCTCACCACCAGCCGACCGATGTCTGACCGATACCTCCTCCAACCCTGCAGTCTCCCAGCCCTTCCGGCTAACTCCCAGTTACATCCTGGGCATGACGTGCTGTGGTATGGAATACCTCTTTGGTCAGTTTGGGTCAGGTGTCCTGTCTCTGCTTCCTCCTGGCTCCCCCTCCTCCCTGGCAGAGCATGAGGCTCACAAAGTCCTTGGCCAAACCAAAACATTCTTGTTATCAGCTCTGTTCCTGAGCTGAAAGTCAAAACACTGCACTACACCAGCTACCAAGAAGGGGAAAAATGACTGCTACTGCTGAATCCAGGACACTGAATCACAGTAACTTTGTGGTCTCAAAAATCCAGCTGCTTATGTTGATTACAGGGGGAAGCATGGTGCCATAGATGTACTGTAATTTTCTATTTAATACCTATGGGCTGGAATAAAAGTTTATACACAAATCATAGTGCTGTAGTACAGTGTCATACAACCTTGGATACTTCTGCCAAGGAATATGAATTTCAGTTGAGGGGGACCAATCTGATTAGCATTTCTAGTGCTCCTGTCCAAATACTGATTTTTACTGAGGTTGCTCTGATAGAATGATTATTAATGAATTACTGTCAGTCTCGTTTCCATTTAGTGAGCTAACAAATATGCCTTCACAAGTGTGGTACACACAGATAGAGCAGTTTTGTGTTCCCTCTAATCTGGTTTTTCAGTCACAGATTAAAGCAAAAGGAAAACCGAAGAATAATGTTGTCTCCTAAGCAATTCCTGAGAGCGTAGCAAGTATTGAAGCTTTGTTAAGCTGTCAGTTTAAATGTTTATCTGCACTAGAAAGACATTTCTAAGGCAACAATCTTGTGCTCAAAATGTATGGAAATACCTAATATGACAGTTTAATTACTATATTTTGTATCTTCTGTCTCATGAGTCCAGAGTTAAACAAGATTTACT